GTCAAATTAAAAATTAATTCTTAAAAAAAAAAAAAAAAAAAAAAGAGGAAGGGTTATCACTTTACTGCCTCTTTGAATTCAGGTTCCAGCAGTTGAGAAAATATCGCAGGTATTTTGGTATGTGTGACTCTCGTGGTACTGAAATAATTTCTGACTCCACACCCTGGGAAAAAGAACACTGGACCTCCAGGGACACCTGTCCTGGGCCATGCAGGAGAAATCGGAGTACGTGTGGCATATCGTAAGTTGCTTTTATGGTGGTTTCTTCCTTTAAACTAAGATACCAGTTGTACCTAATCAAGCAGTGTTTCTAGATTTTTCTAACCTCAACAAACTTCTGATAAATTAGACTTCTTAAGAACAAGGATCAGATTGGGGCTGGCAGGTGGTGTGGTGGTTAGGGTGCTGGACTCCCACATGGCCAACCACAGTTCAAGTCCTGGACCTGGCAGCTTGCTTTCTCACTCTCCCTTTCTCTCTGTCAGTTTCTCTCTGGCCAAAAATTGAAAAAGAACAAGGACCAGATGATAGGGAGAAGACCAAGTTTCTCTTATGCCTTTGAAAGTAGATATACTAGGAATGAACGCAGTGTGGCCTGAGGTCAGGGGTAAGGAAGTTCAGTGGCCACAGAATCAGCAGGATCCAGGCATCCTGGCTTGTTTTGTCTCACTATGCTGAGTAGTTTGATCAAGAAAAACTGACTTCTCTCCTTTTGAGAACTTATTAAGGTACTGAAAAGTGGCCATAGAGTCAGATAAATACATTTTTAAAGATTTATTTTATTTATTATTTTTAAAATTATTGTTATCATTCTTTAATTTGACCAGAGAGAGGGGAAAAGAGAAAGCAAGCCACCAGGTCTGGGACTCGAACCGTGGTTGGCCATGTGGGAATCTAGCACCCCAACCTCCACACCACCTGCTGGCCCCAGATAAATATTTTGACTAGAAAGGATCAGGAAGCAATATTAACTCACAAGAGTACAGTCTTAAAGACGATGGGGCGGGGGGGAGGTGGTAATTTTGAGATATTGGTCAATACTCTCTGAGGCCACATTCCTAGAAGTTAGGATTGGGTTCAGATAAAACCAGCAGCAAAATCAACCATATAATAATACTAGTATAGCTGCAGTAGACAAAGGTCAATGATTTAGAAAAAGACTTTTTAAAAATGTTAGGAACTACCAGTAAAGAGGAAGTGCTCTAGTTAATAAGCTTCCTTAGGGAAGAGGAAACTAGGACAGATGGGGCAATCTTCACCATCCTAAATAACCATATTGTCTAAACTCTCCTAATTATACTTCTTGTCCTACTTTTGCAAGTAAGGGGAGAATAAGTAGTGGTCCAGGAAATATTAGCCATCTTTCTCTAGACAAGTGGTCATCAGGAAACCCCCTCTGAAATAATTTCACCATGTCCAGGACTCTCCTTTCTAGAAGGTATTACAAAATTATTTTTTGGCCCATACAGAAGGGTCACCGTCATCTCCTGTCCAATCATGTAGGCTTAGTGGAACTAGCCCTGGGTATGAATTCACAAAAGGGGGCTGCAGTTCCGGCTCCATCAAGCTGCTAGTCACTAGAAGTCTTCAGTCCCAGCTCTAAGGTTCTTCAGTGCAGGTAGCGCTTACAGGGAAGCTGAGGCGTGGCAGAAGGAAGGGAAGGGAGAGAGAAGTGGGTTTCTTTCTTTCCTTGACTTTTGTCCCAGTGAGCAAATGGCCTGTGCATGAGAGGGCACAATTCAGACATGAAGATAAAGTTGAGTCATTAAAACCACAAGCTGACTCAACCCTGGGCCTGAAACAGTGGCTGTAATACAATCGTGGATTCTTCCCCTTGACACTCACACCATTGTTCTCCCACACCCTACAGATCACAGCAGTTTACATGGAGCTTTGAATGAACCAGCTCTGATAGGAACTCTCCTCTTCCAACTCCTCAATGGGTCTTTGTATACCGCTCACTCCCGCAGGTCTCCAGAGACCGGAAGATTTGAACATTCCTTTAAATTCGAGGGAAATGGCTAGTGTCTTTGAATAGCAACAGCTGCCTCTCTGAGAATAAGGAGGGCTGTGAGGCAGATAGGCTTAGAATGCTGCTGGGTTTTTGGCTCAAAGCAACTGGCCGGCAGGAACAGCCAGAGTCAGCCAAGCAAGGGGTGGAACAGCTAAGTCTGTGAGCCACGGAGAGAGACCTACAGCCCCAGCAGCCTTTGTATATAGAGGGGGGCCTTCTAGGTCCAGCCTCTCCCTTCTCTTCGAATCCTGTTGTCACTGTACAGAGAACTCCTAGAGCTGGGAAGGACCCTAGAGGCCATTCTAATCCAACTGTCACTTTATATATGAGGAAACCAAGTCCCAGAAACAGTGACGTATCAACACTAGATCTGACTTTGCGCCTTTGACCCCCACCTGGCCCTAGGCTCTTTGTGAGCCACGCTGAGGCCTAGCCTTCTATTTAGGGTCAACGTGAGGCCACGTCACATCACTTCACATGACGTGCATGCACCAGGGTCTAAAGATCTTACCAGAGTTCCTAGAAATGTCTTCTCTAAGAAATTCATTCCCCCAGATTTAGGTGTGGTTAATAAACCCAGAGCCCAGAAAGATAAGGTTACAGGCTGGAGCCGATTCAAGCATATGTAATTCTTGTTTTCGCTTTCTTTTCTACATCTCTCAGTGTAAGTCTCCTATCCTCTCTCGTGCTGGGAGAGTACTCTGATTAATTCAGGTCCTGTGCTGGAAGATTAGGTTCTGACAAAATCCCCGCTTCTTCCATCTGTGAGTCCTGGCTTCTCGCGTGGCAAGTGGTGGAGAATGGGGCCTCCCCAGCAGAGGGAAGCCACTGATGTCTGGCTGCCTCTGTACAGGAAGCATCTGGATTCTTGTACAGTCCCAGTCCCAGCGGAAGAGACTTACAGGGAATTCCCCGCCGACAGCCTGATGCAGGCCGGCCCGAGCTGAGAGGGTAAGGAAAATAGTGAGAGGCAGCGTACTCTTGTTATGCTAGAGATGCTTCATGTAAGGCACGTTACCTTATATGGCGAGTAGGAAACATGCTGCACAACACTCTGAAGACTAAATATAGCAGCAGTACTACTAGCTGTACTCGCCAGCAAGCACCTATCCGTGAGAGGAAATGCTCTGTCCCAGTCCTCAGCCCTTCGTGCCCTTCTCTCCTCCCTTCACAGGGCCCGCACTTACAGGGTGTCAGAAAATGGAAGAGTTGTGACTAGGGATTCTCCTCTGTAGGAAAGGTTCCAGATCACATAGGAGAGGTAAGAGAAGGGAATTTCCTGCTGGATATGGGTAGAAATAGGCAGCCAGCAATGACGGATGAAACTCGTGATTATCACACTGAGGCCAAGATACTGAGCTCGCGTAGGCCGGCCCACTCTATACCCTTGACCTCAGGTCCCTTTCCAGGCTGTGATGGGTAACAGACACCACCACATTAGAGTTAAGCGCTGGCAAAGGCAAGGTGTATAGATCCTCCCTGTGCAGTAACCGTGAAGTAAAGGTCCTATCAAATGCGCCTGCAGGGAACCAGCAGTTAGCGTAATGGCTATGTCGCTGGACTCCCACGTAGTCGACCGCGGTTCGTGTCCCGGACCTGGTGGCTTAAAACTCACGCTGGGCGCGTGTGCGTGCGTGCCCAAGATCCCGAGAGGAGAATGGAGGAGAAGGGATTGCGGCGTGACCATCCCCCCTGGGGGGTGATTTCTCGCTTTCTGTCTCTATGTCTCTCTCTGTCTGTCTGGCGAGCGCACGTGCCCTACAGTGAAAATCTCTCCAAAAAAAAAAAAAAAGCGCCTGCAGAGGGCACCAGCCGGGAACAGGGAACGCAGCTTTAACTTCCTTTTTTATAATTCCTACCCTTTGACCTGGGAAAGAGACCATCACTTCTAGCCCCAAAGGGCCTTCACCAGACAAGATGGTGCAGACCAACCCCACGTGAGGTGTGGCCTTGGCTATACCTACTTTTGTACTAGTCTCTTGGCTACTGCATGCTTCCCTCAAGGGTCACTTATCCATTAATCATTCCCAGTACTAATCCCTGGATCATCTGTCCTACCCCCACGGTTCCTTTTAGAGGCTCTGGTTCGATGCAGTCCACGTTTGGACCTCTGCAGGTTGGGGAGGAGGTCGCAAGGGAGTGAGTGAAGGGCGGCCAGGATGGTGGAGGCTAAGTGCACGAAGGAAAGGCAGTTCTGGGACACAGCACAACCCTGTGATGGAGACGCTGCTCCGTGTTCTCACAGCTGGGGGGATGACGCCTGCTCCTCTGCAGGCTAAGTGCACGAAGGAAAGGCAGTTCTGGGACACAGCACAACCCTGTGATGGAGACGCTGCTCCGTGTTCTCACAGCTGGGGGATGATGCCTGTTCCTCTGCAGGGTTTATACCTTTTCTTACTAGTTCTCCCTACATGTCTTCTGCTTTTGAAGTTAAGAGAAAAAGTTTCATTTTTTTCTTTCTACTTCAATCTACAGTTGACCCTTGAGCAACATGGGTTTGAACTACACAGGCCCACTTATATAGGAGGACTTGTTCAATAAATACAGCAAACGTATTTCCTCTTCCTAATGATTTTCTCAATAATATTCTCTTTTCTCTAGCTTATTACTGTAGGAATATAGGATATAATATAGAACAAAAATATATGTTAATTGACAGTATATATTACCAGTAAGGCTTCAAGGCAACAGTAGGCTATTGTTACTAATTAAGTTTGTGGAAGTCAAAAGTTATATATATGACAAGTGTCACCAGGGATCAAAGCCCCTATCCCCAAGTAGTTCAAGAGTCAGCTGTATATCATGTAGGGTTTTGAATTAGGTCAATTTTTGTTCATACACAGAAACACCACCCAAATCCCAGTGTCCCGCAACATGGATCCCTTGTTCCAAATCTCTGCTTTGAGAATGGGGCGACGTGAGAATCATAAGATGTAACTAACTTGTTGTCAATTCCTCAAACCCTAATTTTCCAAGTCAGTTCTTACTAACATGGGAGGAACAGGGCCGGATAATCCAATGTAGATGTAGGGACGAACTTGGGCAAGTTTCTATATCCTTCCAGCACTGTCAGCTGCTCTTTAGCCAAGACCAGAAGGACCAAAAGCAGAGAGGGCTCACCTCCTTTGGCACCTAGGCTGGGCTCTATTTTCTCACTTACCCTGACGAGGTCCTCTCTTCCGCCGGAATGCTGCCCCTGACTGCAGGGCTTCTAGAAGACTGTCCATTACACCGGTCTCGTCACCCTCTGTTATGAACAAAGATGGAGATGTCAACTCTTCAGCCAGAGTAGCAGGACAGGTGTTGAGGTCCACACAAACCCATGGGTATTACTTGGCTCCCCCTCTCCCATGGTGGCTGGCAGCTAAGGGCAAAGAGAGCGCAGCCTCAAGTCTCACAGACCCATGTTCACTTGTGACGGGTTTTAAGTGGTCAGAACAGAAGAACTCACTGCCTGCCATCCAGTGCAAACCCTGGGATATATTCCTGCAGTACCACCCTCCCTGCTCCAATCAGGACCAGCACACTGAATTACAGAGCTGCCCAACCACAAGATAAGTATAAAGGCTGAAATCAATAAGCAAATACGACTCTCTTTTTATCTTAGTGTTTCTCTCACTCCAGTTTACACAAATCTCTCATGGGAAGTCTGGTTCAGGTTTCAAGGCAGGACTGAGGAGAACCACTGATTACTTAAGTACTGCCTCTAGTGACTACATCTTCCTGAAGCCAATTCTGCATCTAAGGGGAGCAGCCAGGCTGGAATACAAGGAGTTAATACAGAATCCTTCTCCTAGTCTGGCTCAGTTTCCATGGTAACAGCTCAGAGTAGTGAAATCCGAAACTGTGAAATCCCAAGGAGCCGGTTGGCTGCCAGCCCCAAGGCTAGGGCTCACTGCTCCCAGCGCCACCTGCTGGCTGGACATCACCGGTGCAGCTGACCTACATTCCAGCCTCATGTGCTTGACCCTTGCACTGGGAACAGGGCAAGGTCCACTACGCCACCTGTCGACCAGGTGCAGCCCTCATCCCACATGTCAGGTGGACTCCACCTACCCCTAACTTCATCTTGGCTGGTACCTGGGAACAAACCTGGGGACAAGGTTCAGGGAGAATAGGAGGATGAAGGGGAAAGATACTCGGTGTGGGCTTCAACAGTTTGTAACATATGCAACTGGGTAAGAGCAAGGGGAGCTGTCTCTGAGGAAAGTCTCTGAGAATAAGAGATGTCAGAACAGCTCTTGCTGCTTGTGCTCAGCCTACATTCCAGCCTCATGTGCTTGACCCTTGCACTGGGAACAGGGCAAGGTCCACTACGCCACCTGTCGACCAGGTGCAGCCCTCATCCCACATGTCAGGTGGACTCCACCTACCCCTAACTTCATCTTGGCTGGTACCTGGGAACAAACCTGGGGACAAGGTTCAGGGAGAATAGGAGGATGAAGGGGAAAGATACTCGGTGTGGGCTTCAACAGAGTTTGTAACATATGCAACTGGGTAAGAGCAAGGAGAGCTGTCTCTGAGGAAAGTCTCTGAGAATAAGAGATGTCAGAACAGCTCTTGCTGCTTGTGCTCAGCAAATCATGGCTTCTAAACACATCTGCAGCTCCGAGAACCCCTTCACTTGTGGAAGGCTTGTAGCCCCTCAGATTGAGAAGTGGCATTGGCTCAGTGCGTGAGCAACGTGTGCTGCATTTCCGCTGCCCAGAGAGAGCAGGGGGGAGGGCAGAGAATCAGCAGCAGAAAAGAAACAGAGACAGGAAATGGAGGACCAGTAATTGAGACCATATGTTTCAACAAAGACATGCTTCTGGTGGTGAAATAGAGATTCTGCTAAGGAAAGAAGAGGGTGGCCAGCTCCTCACCCCTTTCCAGAAGTTCACTCCATTTAACGTAATCGGTATCCACAGCTGTGCCAAGGGACCAGGGAGACAGTGCTTAGTGAAAAAGCAGAAGGGGAGGGCGAGCCACCATTAAAAGCTAGAAAGGTCAGGAAAACATTCTGGGGGAAAACCCCGAAAGAGGTGGTGGAGGGAATGAGAATAAGCCAGAGGGACCTTTGGACAGGCAGAGGGGAAGAGTATGTGTTATAGCTACACTGAAACCACCAGGGAGACAGACACACTGCAGGACTCGGCAGAGGAGAGAGAGCCTGCAACGTGGAAAACTGGAACGTGCACATAGCTGAACTGAGGGTAAGTCCAGCACCGGGATTTAGGAGGTACAAGGCTGCCAGAAATCACTTGCCAGGTTGAGCTCAGACACGAACTATTCTCTCTGGCCTCTGGACAGAAAGCAGTCTTCCAAACGCCCCATCTCAGCCGGCCTTCCTTCCTCACTGCTTACCTGCATTCACG